ATTACTGTTGGATGCAACAAAAAAAGTTTGTTGAAAATATATTTTCAACACAGATGAAAAACGGTGCAGGAGTCCGTCGCACCAGTTATTTAAAGAGAAAAGGCCCTGAAAACGACGGAAATTATGAGACCTTAATTATCATGCCGGAAAATGACTATATTGGAGATTTTTTCTTTCTTTTTATTTCGATCTGTTTTTTTTTCAGTTTAATCACCAATTTTGACCATATATGCCATATTTGCCGGTAAAAAATACATTGGAATCATTTATCTAGCACAGACAATTTTTTTTGTGGATCTGTATAATTAATTACAAATATTTTTTTTTTTTTGTTATTTATTTTTTTATTTTTATTGGCCTCGCTTACTCGAGCATTTAGCCACCTACAACATATTTTAATTTCATTACAATATTTCAATTTCAATACAATCTTCATGTTCATACTATTTTTCTTATATAAATCCTATTCTTCTTCCTATTTATTCTATCCTATTCTATGTACTCATCAACGTAACTTCATTCTTCTTACTTCATTCTTCTATTCTCATTACTTCTATTCTTACTTCTATTCTTACTTCCATTCTTACTTCCATTCTTACTTCCATTACTTCTATTCAATGAATCTACTATAAAAACAAGTGCATGTCAGATTGAATTTTACGGTTTATTAAAATTGCATGAAAAGCTTACAAAAGTGTACTGATAATTAAATAATTGCTTACAAAAAACCATACATAATCGAGACTCTAATGTGCGTTTGTGGAATCAAAAAAATGTCTTACATTTCAATCAAGATATAGTAGCGAATATGGAATCGGACAGTAAACCATCAGAAATCCCAAAACTTCGAAAGACCGTTATTGGATCCAGCAAATACAGCAAGATACCTCGCGAAGAAGGTCGGACCAATATGTTTACATCGGAAAAGGTCTCGCTGCGTTCAACTTCATCAGTTTCTGACTCAAGACAGGAAGTAATATCATCTAGTAATAGTGCATCTACAAGCCTCACTCAACCACATTCTGATGTCAAGAAACATCCTAATTCATAGCAAGTAGTCAATTTCAAAAAAAGAAAAACTTCATTTGAACCATTAGGAATAGATGTCAAAATTCAAAACAGATTTTCGGCCCTTTCAACAATAGAAACAGCTAATGATGACAACTCAGTTAAACCGGCTCCAGTCAGTAAGCCCCCTCCAATATTTATTTACGGAGTTGACGATATTAATGATATGTCTAATCAATTAAATGAAATAATTCCGCACGATCAATATTTCCTGAGAAGTTTAGCTAACAATACATTTAAAATTCTATGTAATTCTGTCGACCATTTTCGAACTTTATCCAGACATCTAAAAGAAACTAATGCCGTATATCATACATATCAATTAAAAGAAGAGAAGGCTTATAGGGTTGTTCTTAGAAATGTACACTTTTCAACAAGCACAGATGCAATTAAATTAGAACTATTAAAACAGGGTCATGTAGTACGTAATATCCTAAATATTAGACATAGAATAACAAAAGAACCTCTTAATATGTTTTTTGTTGATCTGGAACCAAATAGAAATAACAAAAATATTTATAACATTTATAAATTATTCAACTGCATAATACGCGTCGAACCACCGAGAAAGTCCAACAACATTATACAATGCACTCGCTGTCAACTCTTTAATCACACCAAAAAATACTGCAATAGACCATTTGCTTGCCTAAAATGCGGTGACAATCATAATACTAATGCTTGTACCAAAGATCCGAATGCTTCGGCATGTTGTTATTTTTGCGACGGTGCTCATCCAGCTAATTATCGCGGTTGCTCATACTTCCAAAAAATTAAAGAACAAAGAAACAAAACTCCAGTAAATCAATCAGTCATAAATCCAAATCCAAATAACCAAAATTTTAAAAATTCTAATAATTCTAATTCTAATAATAAAATAAACAACATTTCTCCGGCCTTAAATCCAACAATTCAAAATTCATCCTATGCAGACATTGCAAAAAACAATTACTCTGCTTCTAATCATTCACCTTCAAATCCCGATTCTGATTCTCTAGCAACACTTATTTTAGAATTTAAAAATATCTTCAATCAGCTTTTGCAACAGAACACCATAATAATAAATATGTTATCCACGTTAGTCAACAACAAAAGCAATGGCAAAAATAATTAAAATTGCTGAATGGAATGCCAACGGTTTAATACCTCACAAAAATGAAGTAGAATGTTTTTTAAAGTTAAACTTAATAGATATCTTATTAATCTCAGAAACTCACTTCACTGAAAAAAACTACTTTAAAATTTATAACTACACTACTTATAATTCAAATCACCCAAGTGGCAGGGCTCGCGGCGGTTCGGCTATATTAATCAAAAATAATATAAAGCATTTTGTTCTACCAAATATTTCTGATGATTTTCTACAAGCAACTCAAATTTCTGTTGAAACAAATTTATATAATTTTTGTGTTTCTGCTGTTTATTGTCCACCAAGATTCAAAATTTCTTGTGCTCAGTTTTCTTCATTTTTCTCTCAGTTAGGTAATAAATTTATCATTGGTGGTGACTTTAATTGTAAACATATTGCCTGGGGTTCTAGACTGACTACAGCCAAAGGAAAGATTCTTCATGCAGCCATAGGGCAAAATAACCTCTCCTTTATTTCAACTTGCAGTCCAACTTATTGGCCTTCTGACCCTACTAAAGTTCCAGACCTTTTAGATTTTTTTATTGTGAAAGGTATTGATCTTTCAAATCTCAATATTGAATCTAGTTACGATCTCTCTTCAGATCATTCTCCAATACTTGTGACGTTTAGCACATTTCCTACTCCAGTTATCAACAATCATATTGTACACAACAATCTTTCTAACTGGATTCAATTCAAATCCATACTTGATTCAAAATTATTTCCAAAATCTAGGCCTTCAAGCGTTATTGATATAGAAAATAATATAGATTATTTTTCTGAGATTATACGTGAAACAACCAAGCAGATCACCCCGAACATTATTCCAAGAAATGATAATATAATAATTCCGCATGAGATTAAGAAGCTAATTGCATAGAAACGAAGAGCAAGACGTACGTGGCAACATTCTCATCTACCAACGGATAAGACATCGCTTAATCATCTCAATAACACGCTGAGGAAAAAAATGAAAGAATGGAAGAATTGTACATTCAGGTCGTATATATTGCAGCTAAATAGGTACGATAATTCCATATGGAAACCAATCAGAAATAAAAGTAAACCCCTACAACAAAACCCTCCTCTGAAAATAACCAACCAAAACGGATTCATTTGGGCAAAAAGCAACGAAGAAAAAGCGGAGGCATTTGCTGATCATCTAAGTAGCATTTTTAGCGCTCGAAATATTTCCCAGAATAATTTAATTAATAATTTCGTAAATCAACCCATACATTCTACACCATTAGGACATTTTTCACCAAATGATGTCTTATGTGAAATAAAAAGGATAAAAAATAGATCTTCGCCGGGTATGGATAAAATTACTCCAAAGATGTTAAAAGAATTGCCTACAAAAGGTATTTTATATATAACGAATATTTTCAACGCCATACTTCAATACAATTATTGGCCCACAGCGTGGAAGACTGCAGAAATTATTATGATCGCTAAACCAAACAAAAACCATCACACTGCTAGTTCATACCGTCCTATCAGTCTTTTATCGATATTATCGAAAATTTTAGAGAGGCTTTTGTTGCAGAGATTGTCAGAAGATCATCCGAATGATAGTTGGATTCCTCATCATCAGTTTGGCTTCAGAAAAAATCACTCTACAATTCAACAATGCAACAGAAGGGTGTCTCGTATTCTTGAAGCCATGAATAGAAAGGAACACAGCGTAGCCGTATTCTTAGATGTCAGTCAGGCTTTTGATAAGGTTTGGCACTCAGGACTCCTATATAAAATCAAAACAACTTTTCCAAACTACTTCAATATCTTAAGCTCATATTTGCTTAATAGAAAATTTAGAATCAAAATTAAAGATGTGACTTCGAGCATCAGAAATATAGAATGCGGGGTACCACAGGGCAGTGTGCTAAGCCCTGTACTTTATCTTCTTTTCACAAACGATATGCCCACAGATGATCTTCTAACCATATGCACTTACGCCGATGACATAGCAATTATTTCATGCAATTCCGATATTAGAACAGCAACTTGTCAGTTACAAAATTATTTATCTAGTCTCGAAAAATGGTTTTTAGATTGGAATATCAAAATCAATATCGAAAAATCTCAGCACATAATTGTTTCTCTAAAACATCACAACAGTCCACCTATCATCATGAACAATTCAATAATTCCACTATGCAATTCTGTTAAATATTTAGGCATGCACATTGATTCGAAATTGACATGGAGAACGCACATTGAATATAAAAAGAAACAAATCCAACTGAAAATAAAAGATTTTTACTGGCTTTTTAGGAGGAAATCTGAAATCTCTCTCGATAACAAGGTACTTTTGTATAAAACTATCATAGTGCCCATTTGGACTTATGGAATCGAACTATGGGGTTGCTCATGCAAATCTAACATAAACATCATTCAAAGGTGCCAGAATAAAATTCTGCGTATCCTTACTAATGCGCCTTGGTATATTTCGAATTTTTGCCTACATAAGGATTTGAAAATCTCAACAGTCAACGAAATGATCAAGATTAGAAGTTCATCTTTCAACAACAAATTAATCCAGCATACAAATCCTACAATTCAAGCGATTCAGAGACCGATAAGAAGATTGAGCAAGAAATGGCCTTCCGATCTACCAAACACCTAGCCCTATGTCTGCACGCTTCAATGTATTGCATTTTTTGTTGTTTTTGTTTTTTTTTTTGCTCATATCATTTTGTAAATAAGACATTAACAATTGTCAAAAAAAAAAAATATTTTACATTAGAACAAACATATGCTACAAAATTTTATTTAGTACCGAATTGCCATTTCTCAAAACAGGTGCAGAGGTCGAACTGCCTTATGGTAAACATACCTTTAATTTCATGTGTGCTCTTCCTGCACTTCTGCCTTGCAGTTACGAAGGCGGAACTGGGTTTGTACGTTACACTATCAAAGTGACATTAGATCGACCATGGAAATTTGATCAGACTTCTAAGGCAGCTTTCACTGTTATATCAGCATTGGACCTGAATATGGATCCCAGATATAGGGTACGTTTTTCTAAACGTTTATTTCTGGAATAAAAAAATATAATTTGAAATATCAAAATATTCAACGAAACACATACAAAAATGAAGGGTCACTGAGAAAGAATAACTGTCGATATGTTTATTTGTATGATAAAATACTACGAAAAGAAGTCATAAAATATTTAAGTATTTATATGACAGAAAATTAAAATAGCAACCACACATCAAGTAACTCAACAACGCTGAAAATGCACAAACTGCAATGGTTTATAAAAAAAATCGAAACTTTTATTAGAGAAAAAAGTTTTGGTGTATAAATTCGTTCTAGAGCCTACGTAGATTAACTACGGCATTGGCTATGAGACGCAAGTAAGATCAATATTAAAGCATAGAATTTAATCAAAGATTTTGAGAAATATTACGGACGCACCTTGATACGTCTCCAGTTTTACAATATCTAATGACTTAAAAAAATCTTAAGTAGATGAAATAATTAACAAGTTGGTTTGATATTTAGCCTTGAGGCAAGTTACATGAACTTCCCGATATGTTTACATAATCGACTTGATCAATAAAAAATAAATTAATTTACGAGTCATTAAAAGTATTCCGACTGGATTTATTACACATAATTGAAAGCGAACGAACACTTTGACTCGGATTATTTTTTAAAAGTAAATTTTCAAAAATCAATTTTTATAATTGAACCAGTTTCCAGGACTTTAATGGTTTATTATGTTCAAGACCAAGTACTCTATCATAATACCCAGTAAATAGTCTAATTTTAATTTTAACAAATGTCAAAAGAACTATTCATTTTCTCAAACTTTGATTAATTTTTAAAATCAAACTATTTGTAGTAAGGCTGTAATATTTCAGTAAGTAGTATAAGACCATGAAAATAGCTAAAAAAAAATCCATAAAAATCGGCTTAAATTTTTTTAAGCTAATCAGTATTATTCCCAACTAATATCTTTCGAACAGTTTTCGATTTTTTTAAATCGGTTCGGTAGGATGAGCTTAAATGTGGACGAAAAGTTTAACACTTTTTTTTCAAATTACAAAGGAACGGCTTGGAAGATCGTCGCACAAAACTGACAAACGATAGTCCTCACCGAAATACATCAAATGGTTTTTAAACTTCTGAAATCGGTTCAGGCGTTTTTGAGAAAACGTCGATCAAAGGTCTAATTTTGACAAACGCTAAAAAAATGACACTAATTTTTGCAAACTTTGACGATTTTTTAAAATTAAACGACTTGTCGTAGAACCGTAATATTCTAGTATGATCTATAAGACTATGGTATCTATCGTCAAAAAAAAAATCATAAAAATCGTCGAAAAAAAAAATTTAACACCTTATTACAAGAAAACGGCCCGGCCGATCTTTATCAAAAACTAATCAGGTCGATTCCCAAGCAATATGTTTCGAACAGTTTTCGAATTTTCAAAATCGATTCAGAATTGCGGGCTAAAACGTGGACGAAAAATGTTTCACTTTTCTGCGATTTACAAAGAAACAGCTCGGCCGACCTTCGCGCAAAACTTAGAAACGCTAGTCCTTATCGAGATACATCGAATGTCTTTTAAATTTTTTAAATCGGTTCAGCCGTTTTTGAGAAAACGTCGATTTACGGCAAAAAATCTGTTCACACACACACACACACACATACACACGTACTTTTTACAAATTTGGTCTCATTCGATTCAGAATGGCTTGAAACGTCAAGAAAACATAAAATTAGCAATTCGGATTTTTTTATGAAAACATAAACTTCTTCGGGAAGTTAAAAACAGAAGCAGTACTCATATAAAAAAATTTTGATCATCCAAATTAGTTACTAAGACCAGTTCTCAATGTACAAAAAATATTGGCATATGTAGCAACTTAGAAATTACTCATAGGAGTGATTTCTGTCCATTTTTTTTCAGTCCAATCAGAAGCCTACGATGGCCGAAGTTTTAATTCAAAGGTCTAAATTTTATTATTTATAGGTATAAATTTTATTAAAGGATAGACCTCTAAAACTGTTGTTCCCTATATAAAAATAATAAGCACTCTTGATATTGGATAATGCATAGAAGACGATCCAATGGTTGCCCTTTTTATTTAATTGTAATGATATATTGTTTATCTATTGCATCAATGTCGTGATTGGCTGTATCTATGGAAAGCGTATATCATTATTGCTTTATATTTGGTTGACCGAATAATTTAAAATTATCATTAGAATTGTTTATTCTAATTAAAAAACAGAAATATAAAAAATGTGTTTTGTAAATGATTTTGGTTAATAAAATTACATAAGCGAAATGCAAGAGCTATCTACAAGGCCATAAAATAAATCAAAGAATATAAGACGATATAAGATAAAATAAATCAAAGAAATCAACATTTGAAATAATTTAAGAAAACAAATGCAGTCCTCACCAAATCTAAAATATTTATCAAAAACTCATATTCAATAATTTTTTATTCGCAGTTGCCGGTGATGATGGAATCAAGTAAAACTTTTTGGTGCGGTTGCACCTCAGGACCATTATTTGTCAGCGTGCAATTGCCACAGTCGGGTTATGCACCAGGACAAGAAATACCTGTCGCATGCAACATCTCAAACGACAGCAGGGTGAATGTGGAATTCGTTCAGATTAAAATTACAAAAGTGAGAACAATTTATTACTACTTCAAGTATAGTAATATTATTCTATATGACTATTTCAAAATCAGTATCGTTCAGCTGTTATGACTACTGTCACTACCGTACCCAGCCTCCTCTACTGCTCAGAAGTCATACATGAATATGAAAATTAAAAAATAAAAAAATGTTCTTTTTTTGAATTCAACATTTGTTCAGATTTCTTCTAATTACAGATCGCTAAGTTTCATAGCAGACATCCACACAAAATTAAGCAAAAATCATCAGATTTAGTGACTGTAACAGCGGAAGGAGTTCCTAAATTCAATAAAATATCAATCACAAAAAATATTCAAGTCCCAGTAATTCCTCCATCGTTATTACAGAACTGCAGTATTATAGATATCGACTATGTAATTAAGGTAAATAAGAAAAATAATCAAGAGAAATTGGTTGTTTAGTTAAATTAAACTTTAGTTAATGCCTAATAAAATTTTTAAAAATATATCATTAGATATAAGCAATCCACGAAAATTACAGTATGTAAGTGCAATTAAATTTTAGTTGAATACACTAAATCGATGGTTGGTTTGTTCGTTTGGAACATTTTTTAACTTCCCGAAGGAGGAGTTTATGTTTTCGCCCAAAAATCTGATTCGCTAATTTTATGTTTTCTCGACGTTTCAAGCCATTCTCAATGAAATGAGACCAAATTTGCAAAAGTAAGCGTATGTGAGCCGATTTTTGACCTTTCGCCGACGTTTTCTCAAAAACGGCTGGACCGATATGTCACTCGATAAGGACTAGCGTTTGTCGGTTTTGCACGACGATTAGGCAAGACTTTTTTGTAACTAGCAGAAAAGTGAACAATTAATTTTTCGTCTTCGTTTTAGCCCGCAATCCTGGATCGATTTAAAAAATTCAAAAACTCTTTGAAAGATATTAACTGGAAAAGCTACTGATTAGTTTTTGGTAAAGATCCGCTGGCACGTATTCTTGTAATTAACTGTTGAAAAAAAATCGTCAATTTTTATGAAACTTTTATTTTGACGATATACATCATGGTCTTCTAGAACATACTAAAATATTACGGCCATACGACTAGTTTATAATTTAAAAAAAAAAAACATGATGACAGCAGCTTTTGTGAAGTGATAAGTAAAAATTTGAATTTCACAAATTTAAAAGCGATTGGAATAAATTTAATAAAGAGGAGCCAAAAGGTTTAATTTTATTTTTATTATTATTTGCTTATATTTTACATTAAATCATATTACGGATATTATTTTCATGTAAATTTTATCCTTTGCTCTTTTATTTATTTATTTAAATTTATATTATTATTTATCAATATTACTTGATGTTAATAAATTAGCAGTTGTAATAATTATTGAAATGAAAAAAAAAAGGTATAAAGAAAATCGCCAAGCCATTCGAATTTAGAAATGACTTAGGAATTGGTAAAACAATAAGTGAGCAGTCTACAAAAATTCTCAAAAAAAGTTGTGTAAAAAGTTTTACCATTGATTTAAATCATTAAATAATATCAAGGACTACGTATATGATATATGTAATAGTGTAGTTGAAAATTGTATCTAAAAATCTTAATCTCAATTTCGGTTGATTAAGTCAATTATTACACATTTTGAGAAGATCATGCTACTTGCCTTAAGGCAAAATGATACTTTCAATAAGTTTTAATATTGTTTGAACAGAAATCAGAACTTATACAGAGTCCTATATAGATGTTCTGCTGATTTGACTTAATGCTACGTCGGTTTTACAGATGGCAACCCATACAATTATTTAATCTTTGTGTGATAAAATTTATTATTACAATTTCTGTAAGTGGCGCCAAATACAATTATTGTGAGATTAAAAATGTCATACTGTTTATTATTAAAAATCAATAATTCTGTAAGAATAACGTTTTAACGAATCAATTATTCACAATATCATCCTGTACTATTTAGTTGCAAATATGATTTTATTGATTACTTAATTATCTCAACAATTTTATTTTCAGGTGACAGCAAGTATTGGAGGCTGCCACAGATCTTTGCGCATTTCATTGCCCCTCACGATTGGCACAGTACCAATAATAGATCGATACGAACAATCAAATATAGGATTTACATCAATTGCGCCATCAGCACCGCCTATAACAACGCAACCTGGTTCAAGTGCCCAGTATGATGATTTACGTAAGTAATCTTGTTCTTGTTTTTGTATCGCGTTATGCTACAATTTTGTAACAAGCCAATCCACATGAAAGTACAAAAAGATACCTTCAACTATGAATAAATGTTGCCAGACAGCAGTGACAACGATTTTCACGTGGAAATATAGATAGCAATATGTTTCCAAGTGAAAACAGCACCAATACGGCATTGCTGCACCAATAAAAAGTCATCACTATTATAACAATTGTAATATTAAAAGTTCAGCACATAGAGATAAGACAACTGTTTGGGTTGCTATCTACAATAAAACAAACTTAGTTTGTAAGAAATTCATCACAGCAGCTCATAGAATCCATAAGTTCTGATCGCTCTTCAAATAAATTAAAAAAAAAAAAAAAAAAATAAAACTATGAATAAATAGACCATGATAAATACAGACACGAATTATCTCGGATATATCAAATATCCGTTTACTTAAAAAAATATCATATTAATTCTTTTGAAAAAGAGGTTAGCTTTTGCCAAAGAATCCTTTGTTTTAATTTTATGTTTTCTTGATGTTTCAAATCATTCTGAATTATTCCACATCAGAATTGGAAAAAGTGTTTGTGTGTATGCTATATTATCTAACATAATATATATAAAACAAAAGTAAGGTAAGGTTAGTCTGTGCCGTTTTATCTAAATAATATTAATTTTTTTAACTATTTTATTGAAACATAGAGTTAAGAGTTCTTGGTCTTAATGAGCATCCTCAAACATTATAGACCAAAACTGGTTTAAATATACAAGATTGGTATAATAAACCGTGCTCTTCAAGAGGGTTCGCAAAGTTCAATGGCAGAGAACACATTATTACAAAGTATTACTATGTATTTACATCGATAAGTTTATGCAACTTTTCTGAAGACAAATTGCTACTTACATCTAGTCTGCTTTAAGCACGATAGCTCGCCGGATTGCCCATATGTTTAGGGAAAAATAAAGATGCTAAGCACGTGTTCTTCGTGTGCCCGCGATTTAGTGCTCTATGGGACGGGGTAGAAGATTTATAAGCTGGAGAATTACTCCAGATACTGTGGTACTGACAACTGAGACTGCGTGGAACGCCATAGTCACATTTGCTACCGAAGTGCTAATTGTCCTGCGATTTTGGAAAAGAGGAAGAACGAATGGGACTCGCTCATTTTAAAAAATAAGCAAATTTTATTTCGAGATTATAACATTCTAGATTCTCCCCCACGAAGTAATGCTTAACGGCGGTTTCCATGGAAACCAGAGGCAATGGAAAAGCGGAGATTTTAGAAGGTATACCCAGGCGGTATTGAGTCCGACATACCCAGGCAAAAGGCCAGTCTGGGATGCATAAATATTACTCCTTCGCTATAAAAAAATGCTTACATCCAAATTGGATATGTCTGATGGTAAGGAATACAGAATAACTAATTAAGTCTCGAACACTTCCATGTTACCTTGTATATGTAATTCAATAAACCACTAATTCTGGATGAGAATCTAAAAAAAAAATCCACTAACTGCTCTGAAGTAAAGGACTGTGTTCATCAAGTGTTTGCATATATGCTAACATTGTAGCAAAAATATTTTTTCAAAATGCTTTAACTCTAACTTGAGCTTACTTTGATGGCAGTGTAGTTTCCAGTGACCAAAATGAATTACATTTTAATGAATGTAAGATGATGTAAGATGAATGTAAGATAAGATAAATAGGCCGAAGATCTGTTTCAAAACAATAAGATTGTATGAAATAAAAATAAAACGATGTACTACATGTCATATTCAGAAGAAACTTTTAGTGAAGAGCTGTTTATATGTGATGTGTGCATTCTATAATCTACTGAGATAATCCAGTTAAACTCAGCAAATATTTGAGTTATTCACATTATTTGTTCTATTAGTTAATAGTTAATTTATCTACCTATGAGAGCCACATTTTTTTATAGTACAATTATCTGTTTTTCATTAAATCTTCTAGTAATCGAGTTATCTGAGCAAGTTACTCATGTCGAATTCTATCAGACGAAGTATTATTATACATATTATTTATTGCATAGAATAATAATTCTACGACCTCAATAAGTAACAGTTAATAATTATTTTAGAAATATATGCGATATGAAATGTAGAATAGATTTTTATTAATTATAAATCTTGCACAATTAATTTTAATTTCAATCGCAATACTAATTCAAAAATATTATTAAATTATTTGTACAATTGCAATCATGATTTACGATATGTTTTTCATTTCAGCTCCTTCATATGAACAATGCTTGTTTGGCACCCAGAGTATACAGGACAATAATGATTCCCAACATACATTGGGATTTCAAAATTTTGCACCCTCATATCCAGTGTATAATGCAAAAAGTTGATGCATGGTCAAATAATCTAAGTTAAGTTTGTAGCCCAAAGAAAGTATAAGTGTTTTGACATCATACAAAAACAAAATTCAATGACGGCATAACTTTGCCAATATTGTCAACATCGTTTGTACATAGGCAAATCGAATAATTATTGTAAATCATCTATATTAATTTATGGCTAATATTTATGCACTATAATTCGAAATAAAAAGTTATTTTAAACTGTAATGAAAACCAACTTATTTTAGATCAGAAGGGAAACCAATAAACCAAACGACATGAGAAACTAGTGGTTTGGTATTTAGTCTTAAGGCAAGTACATGAACTTCCCGATATGTGTAATTAATCGACTTAATCAATAAAAAATAATTAAAATTATGAGTGATTAAAAGTTTCGAGTGGATTTATTACACATAATTGAAAACGAACGAACACTTTGACACGGGATATTTTCTAAAAGTCAATTTTCAGAAATCAACAACTATTAATATTGAACCAGTTTCCATAGGACTTTAATAGCTTAATATGTTCATTAAAACCAAGTACTCTATCGTTATACCAAGTAAAATCGTCCAATTTTATTTTTAACAAACGTCAAAAAAAACTACTCATTTTCTCAAACTTTAACGAATTTTTAAAATTAAACTACTTGTCGTAAGGCCGTAATATTTTAGTAGTTTCTATAAAATAATGATATATCGCCAAAGAAAGTTCCATGAAAATCGACTTAAATTACATTAGTTAATTACAAGAAAACAGCTCGGTAGATTTTCACCTAAAACTGATCAGTATAATTCCCAAGTAATATCTTTCGAACAGTTTTTGATTTTTTAAAATCCATTCGGTAGAATGAGCTTAAATGTGGACGAAAAGTTTAACAGTTTTTTCATATATTATTGTTATTAGGGTTTGTCGGTTTTCAAAAACCGGTTTTAAAAACCGGTTTTTTGGCGAAAATTATGGAATTCGAAAACCGGTTTTTAAGTGAAAAAGGCCGGTTTTCACTGTATAAATGGAAAATGACAAATGTAGGTAAATATAAAAGATAGATGAAAGCTTTTTGATTCTTGAAATCATTTCGGTTCAATAGCATTTGATATCTTATCAGTCTGCAATGGTCTGAAGGTTTTGTATATTTTAATTTAGATTTTTATACCAGTGTATATTAATTTAAATAAGTGTGATTTCTTCTTGGAGAAGTAACTTCCTCTACTCAAACTTAAAAAAAGAGTTTTAAACCCTTGAAACCACAAATTGAAGAACAAAAAACTTAGAATTATTATATCAGGCTTTAAAACAATTAAGCATAATTTAGTCGAAAGTATGAGAGTATTTTCTATTTCAGGAATTTTGTGGAGAGGACGAGGACAGTCTAAGTAGCAATTCGTAAGACGTTCTCAGTTTTTTTGAAATCATCTTTTATTAAACAAAAATACAGTTATTGAATTAAATAGTTTTTATTAAGAACATGAAATATATATAAATTATTTTGATCGAAGTAAGATATTTACAAGAATATGATAAAAAATGAAACAAAATCTAAACTAAAAA